GGGGGGGCTGTGGCGGTGCTGCCGCGGGACGCAGTCGTGGAGGGCGCGGATAATAATATTGGGGAGGGGAAGGGCGAGAGTGACGAACTCGCCCGCCGGGTGAAGCTGGGGACCTTTTCGTAATAAAATCGTGACTGTCGCCTGAAAGAGCGTCGTGCTGGACTTTGCAATAGTTGTTTCGCTCGACACACAGACGACATTGCAAGAGCAAATGGTTGAGAAACTAATGTTGTGCCCTGTGATTGTATCGGGTTCGGTTGTACCCGGTGGGGCGCACCCATAATGGGGTGCGAGGCGAGGTGGTCCTTTCCTCGTGTTTCCCCCTGCGACCTTCGTTGCCGCGCTCAGGAAGGCAAAGGGGGAATATGCACCCCCATCATGAATATGCATTGCGTCTCTGTCACCCGGCGAGCGGATTTTTATCATCTTTTTGGCGGGCTCGGCCCGCAAGCTGCGTATGGCGCAGCACCCTAGGAAGGTGCACGGCGGGTAGAGGCGGGGCGGGGCTGGGCGGAGCGGGGCAGGGCGAGGCGGGGCAGGGCGAGGCGTGGTGGCGTGGCGTAGCGTGACACTACGGCACAGGGCGCCGCTGCAGCCTCTCCCGACACCTACCTGAGGCGGCCGACACAAACCCGACGCCATCGCAGGCCTCCTTGTTGTTGTTGTCGACCAGGATGCTCTTGACGGCGGCCTGCCTGATGGCCTCCGCCTCGGCCTCCGCGAGCGCGCCCGCGTCGAGCTCCATCTCATCAGCGTCGTGCTGCTCGACTCATGTCTTGGCGGAGCGCGTGCCACGGGTCCTGCCTCAGCCGGCCTATCGCGGCGACTGGTCTCGGCCCCGTCTTCGCAAAAACGCGAAGATCGGGAGAGAGAGAGAAAGAGAACGCGAGAGGGAGGGACAGAGAAAGTGAGTGAGTGAATGAGTGAGACAGGCAGAGAGAGGGAAGGGGGGAGGAGGGGGCGTCGCGTGTGGCGTGGCGGGGTGCAGCAGGAGGCCCAACCCCCAGGGGAGGCGGCCCAGGATGACGACCCGACCCGACCTGACCCGGCCTGACCCGCACCACCGCCCGTCTGCACAGAGGGAAGCCTGTCGCGGCAGAGGTCGCGGAGGTGGCCACGGGACGGTGGCGGCGCGAGCGTGGCGGCACTTGGCGCCGCGGAGAGAAAGGCGAGTCTCCATTGACGTCCAACCGAGCGGCCAGAGCTTCCAATTACCCCCCACCCCCCAATCTGGGAAGAGGTCTCCGAACTCCTCATCGTAATTATTTCTGCTCCGGCGATATCGCGATTGGCGGTCCGTATTGCGGTGGTCTTCATGTTGTGGTGCGACGCCACGCCGCCGCCCGTCTGGGTTGGGGTGGTTACGTAAAGCTCGCCGTCCTTGTCCTTCTCCATCGCTGTGTTGCCCGTCGTTGCCCCTCGACAGCAGCCACACCGGGGTTGCATTAGCAGAATTGAGGGGCCTCGGTGGCCGGCCGGGCCGGGCGGCACACGGCCGCGTCTGGCGGCGCGTGTGTCGTGCGTGGTGGGGCTCGGGTGGACCGCCCCGCCACGCCACGCCACTCCCGAGCCTGCATGCCGGC